CCCGCGGAAAAATCCCAGCTAGCTGTCTCCGGTAGGGAATAAACCGGGAAGAACTAGTGTAGCCTGAATATATTTTCCCTTTCAACCAATGATCTCAGCAGCCTCTAAAAGCCAGCCTTCCCACAACCTTACTTGCTGCTTAACCTTCCTTTTTGCTGATATGGTAATTAAAAGGCAGCAGGTCCTTCCGTTCCCCGCTTCTTCCTACAGCGTTGTTTCTTCCACTCAATGTGACTTTTTCCTTAAGCTTTTCTTACATAATTTCCTGCATCATTCTTGCAGCTCTCTTGCAACTTTCCTGCAGCCTTCCTGCAGTTATCCGTCAACCGGTGACTTGCAAATTCATCAATGTCTCAGAATCCCAGCCACATTTCTTTTGGCTAACTTAGAATCATTATGTATTGTGCTTAGCCCTCGTCGATGTCATCTCAGACCAGCCATTCCACTTGTGTTTACTGTCACAAATCCAACCACACTCGGAACAAGTGTGGAAATTTCATGGTAAACCGACATACAAACCTTTGACCAAATCCTTTGCCACCAAAGGCCCTGCAACAACGTCCAAATCATCGCGGTTCAACCAACTCCTACCTAGAATATTCCAGAATCTTCCGAATCCTTGGGAAATTAGATGGAGTAATTGATCATGCTACTTGGAGCACATGAAGTCTCTACGGGTCGGACATGGAGACGACCTCCCATGTCCGACAAGGTACTCTTCCTATGACTTTCATGGTTTATTCCACCTATAGTCCATGGAATACTAATTCAGGTGTCACAGATCACCTGAATGGATGCTGACAAGTTTTTTCGACTTACTATTTGTGCTCTGGAGAGGATATCGTCAGAATTACCGATGACACCTATAGTTTCATTGCTGGTAAATGGTTGGTCAACCGATCTAACTCTTGAGATTGTTTTACATGTGTCTTAGTTGCAAGTTAACAAATGATATTGATTGTGTCGCTAATTTTATTTCTGATGGTTGTGTTTTTTAGGATCGTCATCCGGAGAGGATGATTTGAACTACTAAGAGGGTAGCCGAACTTTACTACTTTCAAGAGGAGCATAGAGTGTGACGACATACCTTTCAGGAGTTGTAGCTTATCTCGGTCATTAAATGTCTCATTATATTGTTGCATTGTCGTTTAGATCATCATAGTTTCCAAAATTAAAAAAAAATTATATACTTCGATGTTTTTAATAAAAACCTTTCTAATTTCAATTGTGAGACATGCCAGTTAGCCAAATATCATCAAATTCATTACCCATTCCACACTTACACACCTTTCACTCCTTTCCCTCTTTTCTCTCTCATTCACAGTGACCTATAGGGACCTTTTCACACCCTCAACTAAACTAATAAACAGTGGTTCGTGACTTTGATTTATGAACACACTCGAATAATGTGGGTCTATATTTTCAAAGATAAACTGGAGGTTGCTGTCATCTTCTAAAACTTCTACATTTTCATTTTAACTCAATTCAAAATCCTATTCAGGTCCTTCATATTGACAATGACTGTGAGATTTTTTAACTCTATTTTGGATGAATTTATAGTGAGCAAGAGCATCCTTCACGATAGCTTGTGTACGGACACTCCTCAACAAATGGGGGTAGTCGAGAAGAAAGACCGTCACCTCCTTGACGTTGCTCGCTCAAGCCAACGTCTCGAAACTTTTTTGTAACAATGCCATTCTCAAATTAACCTATCTCATAAATAAAGTTCTTTTTAAAATTCATAAGTTCTGAACCCTCTAACTATCCTTATGTTATGCTTCCTTGCTAATCGGGTTTTCCTCACCTTAGACCCCAAGATTTTTGGGTGCACTACCTTTGTTCGGAACATTGCTTCCAATCGGAGTAAACTTGATTCTAAATTCCATAAAATATATCTTCATTGGGTATTCTGCCACTTAAAAGTGGCGTCGGTGCTTTGATGCTACCACTAATAAAATCTACGTGAGTCCCGATGTATCCTTCTTTGAAAGTATTTCTTCTCTATCTAGCTCGGCCCCAAGTGAGTGGGAATTTAGCTTCTTTGACACTGTCCCTTATCCTATTCCTATGGATGTTGCCCCAATTATTCCTGCCACTGAGTCCCTTGTCCCGGTGAGTGTACCATCTGGAGTGTCCCGTGATTCGGTGAGTGCACCATCTCCTTCTCCCACTACCCATGTCTATAATCTCCGTACTCGTTCAAATGCTCTTACTCTAGAACCAGCTACCTCCTTACAAGGCCCTGACTCCACTCCTGGCGATATCCTTAGCACAACTCCTCCAAACGACGAGGTGATTTCTCTGAATAATGCACGCATTCAGACATGTTGCCTCTATTCTATGGCAAGATGTCTTTTCCACAGTTTATCATAGACCTACAAAGTCTTTGTTATTGCTCTGAGGGACCGTCAAATTCCAACTACTATTGAGGTTGCTCTTGCTGATCTAGATTGGAAAATGAGAGTAATGGAGGAGATGAATGCTCTTCAGCGAAATAATATATGAGAGGTCGTTGATCTTCTTCAGGGTAAGAAAACTGTGGAGTGTCAATATATTTTCAGCATCAAGTTCAACTCTGATAGATTCTTTGAACGCAACAAGGCACGATTGGTCACCAAAGGGTACTCATAGACCAATGGAGTTGACTATGAGAAGATATTTACTCCAGTGGTTAATTTAAACACTATTCGGGTCCTGTTGTCCCCTACAGTGAATTTTGATTGGCCTTTATTCCAGCTAGATGTCAAGAATACGTTCTTGAATGTAGAGCTTACAGAAGAAGCATACATGTCTCTCCCTTCTGACTTTAACTCTACTACCTTCAGAGGGTAAATGTGTAGGCTGCGAGTCCTTCTATGGGCTAAAGCAGTACCCAAGGGTCTAGTTCGACAAGTTCATAAAGGTGGTTGTTGGTCATGATTTTTACCAAAATGTATTAAATTTCTCCAATAAAATTCTTTCTTTAAGAGGTATCATTTATATTAATTCTTTTTGGTTATTCTAGAATTTTTCTTTTGAACATATATCTAAACCTACTTGAGGAGTATAAATACTTACAACGTTAAAAATCTTAATATCAATAATAATTTTTAGGGCTATAATTCTATCACCAATTTTATTTATTTTTACAACATTATCTTTCAGAGACATATATAATTACACCTAGACCATTTTAAGTGCGATTCTTACCTGAATGCCGTAGTTTAAAACCTAAGCTATCAATCACCATAGCCTTTTCTTCAACCCATTTAGTTTCTTGAATGTATAGGATATTTATCTTTTCATGAACCATAATATTAATTAATTCTATTAATTTACCTGTAAGATTGCCTATATTCGAGGGTTCTATTTTACTCTTAGTTTCATGGGCTAACTTCTTTACCCTCATCTGTCTGTAATGTGGAAACCCTTACTTATTTGACACTACACCCGGATGCCGTTATAGCGACCCTTGCACACTTTTCACTCTATTCAGGCCGTATAACACATTGCTTTCAGGGCACGTCCTATCATTTACACAATGATGTAAAGGACGCATGTCATGATTTTTTGATAACTTTTATGCTAGCTGTTGACTACCTAATGCAACCCTCTACTTTTCTCGTCCGGGACTTGGGACCCAGCAATAGTAGTGTTGATATGACATACCCTGTAAGTATTGTGAGTCAAACACATAAATAACCTAAATGAAGAGTATTTTGAGTACATACTTCAGAGGTTTTTCAAGAATACTCCTGGTTATGGATTAATATTTGAGAAAACTAAGAACATATTGGTGGAGGTTTATACCGATGCTAGTTGTGCTGGGGAGCTCACTGACAGAAGGTCCACCACAGGTTACTGCTCCTATGCATGAAAAAATTTAGTGACATAGATAATTAAGAAACAAAACAAGCAGTTGTTTCTAGAAGCGTTACAGAATCAGAATATAGGGCACTTGCCTTGGGAATTTGTGAAGGGATCTTGATTCAAAAATTCTTAAAGGAATTGGGATGTACTTTCAATAGGCTTATACAAATGTTTTGTGACAGTCAAGCAGCTCTCAGTATTGTCGGGAATCCTGTGCATCATGACATTACCAAACATATTGAAGTTGATAGATGCTTTATCTCTGGAAAAGTTAATGAGGGAATTATGCAACTGAGGTACATCTCAACATACTAACAAGTTGCAGATGTCTTCACCAAAGCTTTTCCTTTATGCACCTTTCAGTGTTCAATACCAAACTTGGTCTCTACAACATTTATCACCCAGCTTGAAGGGGAGTGTGAAAATCTGAGAAGATCTAGTGGAGGATTTTATTAGGACAATTTAGGAAACTTTTGTTTTTTCTGTTTTTATTTTATGTTATTTTATTTTTTATTTCAGATGTATTTCCTTTCCTAATTTAGGTTAGATATATTTGGTAGGTTTGTAAATTAGGAGTGATTATTTTTTCTATATTATATGTACCCTACATGTGAGTAATACAATTAAGAGAGAATTATTTCTCTCTAAATCAGTTCTCTACAATAACTAATCACCTTGTCTACCACTAATTGAGTTTTCTGTTAGTTGGTTATTATTTTATTATAATAGAAACATATAAGAGCGTATTAAGGCTCTGGTCTGCAGTTGTGGCTAGATTATCAATCTGTAGCTATCGGTTGATATTTTGTCACTACCTAAATCTTGTTTCACTCGGAGTTTTGACATTGAATCAGTGCCTTGAGGTTTTTATAATCCTAATTAGATTTTTAACTCGAAACTATTAGTCTTAAATAAATATAGTCATACACTCATACTTGTGTAAGCACTTGTGGTGATTGCATACTCTTATTCACATTTTCCATTTTGATATGTATGTGGTGATTGCATACTCTTATTCACATTTTCCATTTTGATATGTATGCAATATGTGGCTGCATACAACGGCTCTCTAAATACCACATTGGCAGGAACCTCTTGCATTGGATGTATCCTTTTCTCATAGTATTAAAAGTTATTCTACATTTTTTCAGGTGCAACCCGGTTTCTTACCACATGTATTTAATCCTCCCAAATATCCAGAAAAGATCTTATTCTGTGGTTGGCGTCGTGACATTGATGATATGATTATGGTAATTCATTATCTTAAGTATATAATTTAGACCATGCTTCACGGTTTGATTAATATTGCATTTAATCATTTTTTTTTTGTTGCTTATGTCGGCATATTGGTCCTTATCCTATTCCATTGGACACATTAACGTGTGCTATTATTCATTCTGTCTTTTCATTTCATGGACTTTATGCTCCATCTGATTATTTTGTCATTCATCATGATTATCGTGTTTGTTTTGAATAGGTGTTGGAGGCATTTCTTCCTCCAGGCTCTGAATTATGGATGTTCAATGATGTTCCAATAATGGAAAGAAAGAGGAAGCTGACAGATGGTGGGCTTGATCTTTCAGGACTCTCAAACATTACATTAGTCCACAAAGAGGGGAATGCTGTAATCCGTAGACATCTGGAAAGTCTGCCTTTGGAAACATTTGACTCTGTGAGTATTCAATTTTTCCGAGACTTTTGCCATGTCCATTAAGTCATAGTAAATCATTATCTTCATCTTTATGAATTGCTTTTTCTTAGATCAGTGTTTGCCTTCCTGTAATATCAATTGATATTACGAGGTCTCCTAAAATGGGACTAATTGTGACGTGGGGCGTTTGATAGATGCAGGATGTCCTAGGGATGCCTGGACCAAACTGGTTCAAGAAGTATTTGGGTTGACCAAACCCTCAAGGCTTTGGAGTGCCGCCTAAGGGATGTGAGGTCTACTCCTAGTTAGCCTAGGTCTATTTATTTGTTTTCGTCGGTGTCTATTGTTGTTGCTACGTTTGTTTTGGGACAGTCATCAAAGTCCCTCTTTTTTCTTTTAGGGCTGTATCCAAGGGTTCCGAGTGTGCTACAGTTGCATCTTGTTCATAAGGCGGTGTTTATTTTTCGATACCATTCCTCACCACTTTCCCGCACCGGCTTCCTTCACGTCGCCGTTGCACCTTGGCTGCCATCTCCTAGATCCACCCCTACCTTGATGTTCCTGCTTTCCAGGTGCTGTTTTTTCTGTAGCCCACCGCCCTCCATTACCGACCCAACCTTCCCCGTCATTCCACTCCTTCCTTGCTGCTGTACCCAGAACCGTCCCCTGTTGCTGTTGTTCCTGCTGCTGGCCTGCTGTCTGGACATTGAAAAACAGCCACCTTGATGTTTCTAGCTTGTCGACCGCCTCTTTCCACCACCCTGCTAACTTCCAAATCCTTAGCCGATGCCACTTTCACCCTAGATCCTCCTAAGTCTAGTGTTGCGTGTTGTTTTTGTTGCAATTTTAGAGTTTCTCTTGTTTTACTGTAATTTTATATTTTAATTCAGCATAATATGTGTTTTCCATTGGTGTTTGAATTCAGCCCAGTCCTAATTTCATGCTAGGGTTATCCAAAATCTACCAAAACCTAACCTAAACTCCAAAATCATTCCCCCTTGTCTATTTTTTGAAATCAGCCCCCATCCCCTTTAAAAAAAAATCCTGCCCTAAAGTAGCCACTCCAACCCCTTTTCACCTCCCAAACTTAAACGCTTGTCTTGCCATCAAGAAGATAAGTGCCGGAAGTCATTAAGGAGCTTATCATGGAAGAGATGCAACGGGAAATAAACTTGGGACAGTGTTAGGACTATAGCAAAGTGAAATGGGCATAAATTTTTACTTCTTAGAAATTCATTACTCTTATGCTATTTCAAGATTTATTTAAAAGGTACATGACCTTGAATTAGTAGAAAAAATATAGACTATATGATGGACAATTTAGTGTAGAAACCTGTGGAAGACCCTGCTGCCATTCGTGCAACAACATATTCGTAGTTCTCCGGGCCCTCCTACCCAGCCTAGAGGCAGAAGGAGCCTCAGAGGGACCTGGAACAAACGGAGTTGGAACAACGAGTCCAGTAGAAGGTGGAACACTCTATGGTGTCATGACAGTTGAAGGAGTATAGATCTGTGAAAGCACGAATGGGCGGCCAGAAAGTTTGGAAAAGTTTGAGGGGCGCTGCAGCGCCACACCATCAGACACTGGCCTCTTCCTCGAAGGAAGGGTAGTGTTGACACGGACTACTACGACCACGAGGGTAACATGTGCCGGACTTTCCCTTTTAGGTGAAGAGCACAGGGCCAATGCCTCAACATGAGTAGGATTATCGACGGTAATCCAGATGGGGTGCTTGAAGGAGGCGAAGGTATTAACCCCCTCAGGAAAGAAACAGAGTTCTTGTTAAAAATTATAATAGGAAATAATTTATTCTTATAAGAAGTTATGAGGAATAAATTATTTCCTTAATATAAGGAGATATTTCCTTTCCTATTTTATATTTATTTCTTTGAATTATGAATTATTTACTTCCTTATTTATGTTATTTCCTATATCTTCTGAGAATTAATATGAATTGATTATTGGAGATATTAGGTGATATATCTTTCATTTCATATCATTTAATTTTTATTATTTTTCCTATTATAGGATTCTTGTAAATGTTATTTATATCCTCGTACATATCAATGAAATAATTAAGTATTTCACTCTATTTCGCATTATTCTGAATTTTAACATGGTATCAGAGTAAAGTTTCGTACTTTATTCACCGGATTTTCTTTGAAAATTGTTGGACTCTCTTTTTGCCATCCTCTATGCAGGAAGGGAGGGACACTCATCTTGATATTTGGAACGATCCCTAATTCCCGACCGCCTCGTTAGGTTACAGAAACCATGGAAAGAATCACAAAGATACGCTCTCGTAAGTTCGATCTCGATGATGCCTCGGAGTCCGAACTAGATGCGCTATCCATATCGTCGTCTCCAGGTTCACGCATTAGCGTCAACCTCAGCAGCATGGTCGTTAAGCCTCCAGCTAGCAATGGCGGAGGGAGTGATCTTGACATCAGATATGACACCGATGATCGCCATCATGGTTCCCCGCCGCATCAGCGCCGACTTAATTCTCTGCAAGATGTTCATCCCCGCGATTCTCTGTCGTTCAAATGATGCCGTGGAGGCTACTCGCCGCTGCATCGCCGGAGGTCTCCTGACGGACTCCTCCACCGTGCGCCCCAACCTAGTCTAAGCGTTGTGGTTCTGCGATTGGCCTTCGATGGCGCGGGTCCCCTCTGGCGTTCCATCCACGGTTTCAGAATGATCCAGAGCACATACAACGTCCAGGTTCTATTTTACCGCCGCGCCGGCCAAGGGTGGATGATGGTTATTTTGAACCTGAATTTAGGCACCCTCGCGGACCATGTTTAGGTCGTGGAATGCGAGGGAGAGGAGGTGGTAGGTTTCACAACTTTTCACCCCTACCTTTGGGAGGGACAGCAGACTATACACGAGAGGGATCGATTCAACCACACATATAATGTTCTTGTATGGAGGAGAGTTCGTTCTTGTCACCAAGGGAAGGTGACTTGATATGTCAGAATTTGTCGTGCAAAAATCTGAATTTTGCACGATGAACTTACTGTAACAATTGCCACTAGTATCGATATGATGAACCATATAGATCGAGCCGCAACCCTCACAAGGGCTATGTTAGCCCCCCTCCGCACCGTAGCTTTTCACCCAAGTTATCGATTTCACCCATTAATTGTGTTCCACAAAGAGATTTCAATGGATACAGATCTGGTCATAGGGAAGGGTGGCTTTAGATTTGAGGAGTATCGGCCCTCGACTCCGTTCTCGGCGTCTCCTACTCCATCTCCACCTATCAATGTGGCTAATGCCTTGCATGCTAGATTGCAATCAGAGACTTCTCCAGTCAGCATACCGCAGCCAATGATGGGAACCATCTGCATCGCACTCCTAACTTTTCAGATCCGATTAGAAGCTTGTTGCCACCGTCATCGCCTAGAAATGCACGGGCTGATGTTTTGGAGGATTCTCCTTCTTCGATGACTTTCAGAAAGTCGGGGGATCTTACTTCATTTTTGTACACGACTCCCATAAAACCATGATAGCAAGATGCTTTGGAGTTTGGCTAGACATCACCACAAACCATCCAAAAATTTCCTGTGTTTTATCCTCCTATGTCTGCACCAGCGATGAGACTCCAACCAGAGTAGCACTAGCGATGCCGCCACCCGCCTCATCATCATCTCGCCGGAGATGTCGCTGCTGTAGATCATACGATGCCGACAAAATCCATCGTCGCCCCTTTCTCATGCAATATTTTTTTCTTCCTTGCCCAAGCGTCAGGGGGGAGCTGCGTTTCCAGCCGACCATTTCTTCTGCAGTATTTTTTTCTGCCCTGCCTAAGCGTCGGGGGGAGCTGCATTTCCAGCCGACCCTTTCTCGTGCAGTATTTTTTTCTTTCCTGGCCCAAGCGTCAGTGGGAGCTCTATTTCCAGCCGTGCTTTCTTTTGCTGCTTTCTCTGTAAGCAGAATTTACTGGGTGTGATTTACGTGTTTTTTTTTTCTGCAGCCAACGACAACTGCAGTCAACTAAAAGTCAGTTTTCCCGTAGGTTGTCTCTTTCTCTGCAAAACTCAAAATTCAGTCAAGCCTGAATCTCTCTTCTATGCTGAAACATATGACAGACAAAACTCAAAATTCAGCCAAGTCTGAATCCAACAAATTCAGTCAAGCCTGAATCTCTCTTCTATGCCGAAACATATGACAGACAAAACTCAAAATTCAGCAAAATCTGAATCTAGTAAATTCGATAACCCAAACGACCAATTTTTCTTCATTCCAAACTTGAGGGGGAGTGTTAAAAATTATAATAGAAAATAATTTATTGCTATAAGAAGTTATGATGAATAAACCATTTTCTTAATATAAGGAGATGCTTCCTTTCCTATTTTATATTTTTTTCTTTGAATTATGAATTATTTGTATCCCTATTTATGTTATTTTCTATATCTCTTAAGAATTAATATGAATTGATTATTGAAGATATTAGGTGATATATATTTTCTTAAATATCACTCCTTTTTTATTACTTTTCCTATTATAGGATTCTTGTAAAGGTTATTTATACCCCCGTTCATATCAATGAAATAATTAAGTATTTCATTTTATTCCGCATTATTCTGAATTTCAACAGTTCTTTTCTGTGGGCTTAATTGTAATCCGCTTCTGATTGTCCATATCTATCAATCAGAAGGGTCACAAATCAGAAAGTCGGAAAAAAATCAAGAAATAATCACAAAAGTACAACAATATTGATGCATGCGACTATGCAACGACTGTAATGCTATGGGTGAGAACAAAAGGGACGAAATATGTCAAGTTGCTAACCATAACATTTGACGCATAGAGTGAAATCCAAAATGTCTCATAAAGCTCAACAAGTGATAGAAGGAGAAGATATCATGTCATGATAATGTAAGTGAAACTCCAAATATGGGTAGAGAGGCTACAAGCCCATAACATATAAGCGAAACTTATGAAGAGAAGGACTCCTCCCCAGTGGAGTTGCCATATTGTTTTTGGTTCTTTTTAAATAAACTAGGAGTTGCCT